ATGTTTGACTTTGAAGTAGTGCCTTTAGTAGCTGGAACATGAAGAGTCATGGTGTGTTGATTCTCTTTATCACACTTTTTATTGGTAGCATTTTTAGTAACTTTATCCCACATCGTGGCCATGGCTATATTTCTGTATGTTTCAGCATGTGCAGCCTTTACTTGAGGGTCATCTCCTATTGGAATAACATCGAGGGTGTCAGTATTTGCGGTAAAATTGTAATCATTGCATGCGTTCATTTGGGAGAGATCACCATCATAAGGTAAATCCTCCTGTTGCTTATAAGTTGTATCTTCTGAAAAATTGTTTTCATCCATGATTGTGCAACCTGGTGCTTCTTGACCTCTRCTGCCTGGTCCTGCTGATCTTATCATGATAGTTCATCTAGTTTTTATTGATTGTCTTCATTGTGCACCTCTTCAGTGGGAAATGAGTGTCATTGTTAAATACATTAGAATAATGTACTATGATTAGTTTAGTGTCTATGCCAGAATGAAATGGATGATTTTCATTTATAGAAATTCAGTTATAAACATGAAGGCAGAAAACTCAGCCAAGAGCTAGCTAATCCTAAATACCATGAAATAGTGGAGGGGGCAGGGAGATGTTATAATTTTCATTCTTGTTTTCAGTGCTGGGGATCAAACCCAGAGCCTCGTGCCCCTGATCTCCAACCCAGCCCTCATTCATCTAATTTTGAAGAGACATTTTTGTCTAGTTAATGACCAAATTTTTATCATTCTCCCTTAAGAAATATTCTTTGGAGTTTGTTTTCCCAAAATAGGAACCTGGCATTCAAGTAAAGGATGGATTTATTTATTTAGGTACTGAGTATTGAATCCAGAGTTGCTTTACCACTGAGCCATATCTCCAGGACCCACCCACCCCCACTTTTTTCTAGTTTGAGCCAGAGTTACTGAGGGGTTTCCCTAAGTTGCTGAGGTTGGACCCAAACTTGAGATCCTTCTGCGTAGCCTCCTGAGTTGCTGGGATTACAGGCATACACCACCATGAATGGCTAGAATAATTATTCACTCCAATAATCCATCCCTATCTATTTCTCCCCAATTCAATGATCACACAGTTTAACAGACTAAAAAGCCTAGGAATTATCCCTAATACTTTCTTCTTCTCCTTTTTTTTAAGTTGTGKATGGACACAATATCTTTATATATATATATAGTGTTGAGGATTGAACYCAGRGTTTCATCCATGCTAGGCAAGCACCCTACCACTGAGCCACAACGCCAGCCCCTTGACTTTCTTAACAATGATACCCACAACTGTCAGGAAATCTATAGCTGCTAAAGTTATCCTGAATCTGATCATGTTGCCATTTCTGCTTCTGCTCTCCTAGTTTAAGTCATTGTCTTCTCTTTCTTTAACTATTACAGTAGCCTTCTAACTATTTGTCTACTTCCACTCTTGCCAGGTTATGATCTCTTTTTGCATAGTGATCTTTTCAAAATGTAAAAACTGTGTRCCTGCCCCTGTGATTCCCTCTCTCCTTCTTTGTTAGAAAAAAATGGATGTTTCTATTTTTAAAACTATATCTTTACACTCTGAATCCATTTTCCTTTCCTCATCAGAGGCTTTATTCTCTYCATTATCCCCTTATTTCCTGTATGTAAGCCCACTGCATTTAAACACAACATTTTACATAGTTAAGTTAGT